AACCCAAAAAAAATCAAAGAATTGCTACTAGATTATTCAGAAAAGTCTGGAACGAAAAAAAATCCCAGCAACTGGAGAAAAGGATATCTGTGAAATCCCCAAAAAAAGGTGACCAGGAGGGGAAAATATAGGGGAATATATTGCTGTCTTTTCCGGGAAAAAAATTAATAAATTATTTTGGAAAGAAAAAGATGTATATAAAATGCTAAGAGAGAGGCGGGCGGGTTTTTGGGTCAAACAGATCCTGTCAGATCCCACATTAGATTATAATGAGCAAGCATGAAGGGAACTCACCCTTTAATTTGGATTTATAGACTATGAAAAACTTTGACAGCATTTTTTTCTTGGGCACAGGAGGGGAGCTATGGGGTGACCCTTTTGCTAGAAGCGAAAACTAGGTTTACCAATTACCAATTACCGTTTTGACAGTTTGTGGAAATCCCCTGAAATTTGATGGGGCGCTAGGAATCCCACAAAAAAATTATAAACTTAAAAAAGGCAACATATAAAGACAGAATGTCGAGTTCTTTATCGAGGGAAAGTAACCAGATGCATTTGCAATAAAACACAGTGTGCGCCAGGGGATGTATTTGTCGCTTCCTTATTTTTACTGGCGATAGACTGGACTATGACAAACAGGTAACTGTAACAACAAGAGATGGAATTCAGTGGACCCCTACAAAAACAGCTTGATGATCTGGACTTCGCTGATGATATTGCTCTTCTGTTCCCATTCACAGAATCAGATACAAGATAAATAAATATACTTAATGCGAGATAACAGCAGCTTGGTCTGAAAATCCACATAAAGAAAAGACACAAAGATTAATGAGTAATAAATCCAGGCAAATAGTAATGTGGTTTCTCTAATGGCACCCCACTCTCAAGACGAGGAGTCGTACACCTATTTAGGCAGTAATGTAGATAAAGATGGAGGAACTGATAGAGATATTAAAATAAAGAATACAAAGGCAAGAGGGGGCTTTCATAGCATAGGGAATTTGTGGAGGTCAAAAGTAAATTGAAAGAAATACTAAATTAAACATTTTTAATTCTAATGTCAAATCAGTACTATTGTATGGGGCGGAAACATGGAGAACAACCAAGGCAATTGCTAATAAATTACAGACATTCATTAACTGGTGCCTGCGCAGAATAGAGGGAATAAAATGGTATGATAGAATAACTAATGTAGAACTTTGGGAGAAAACTAAACAGGCTCCAGTGGATCAGGAGGTGAGGAAAAGACGCTGGCGTTGGATAGGGCACACACTGAGAAAACAGGAGAACAGCATAACTAGAATGTCTTTGCATTGGAACCCACAGGGCATAGGAATAAAGGAAGGCCAAAAAACACATGGAGAAGAGAGCTGGAGAATGAGTTTAGAAAGATTGGGAGGACATGGGGAGAGCTACATGCAATGGCG